GCAGTGGAAGAAGGACTACAGAGCTTCAGCCATTTTGCAAACCAAGCCGGTCAAGACCACAGTCAAAGCAGAGCTAATTGTCCCTTCAGGTATCTCAGGAGGTGCAAGGAGTACAAACATGTACCTTTCCTGGGATTACTGTCCTCTAGGGACTAAACTACCTTGTGGAAACACAAATAGAAGATTTAAGAATACAACTAGAAGATCTAAGTAAAGAAACCAACAGGATACTCTGAATTTGCATCTTAAACTTTTTTTCCATGCCACGCTGTAGAAACACAATGGGAGCAGAATTGGCAAACACCATCCATATGCTTCACAAAATGACTGACGGAGCACAATGTGAACATTACTTCTGGACTGGATCAAGAGAACGCATTAAAAAAATGCACAAGTGGAATACAGACATACATTAACTCAATCTTCTCTTATTATGGAATTAAAAAATGTATACCTGTAATTATGGCTTACCTCCATTACAAGCAGAGCTGCCACAGAACTGAACACAGGCCAGCTTTGTGCAGGAGTTCAAAGCCAGTGTGATGTTGCCTTATTTTCTTACTAACATCATCTTTATCCTCTCTTGCCCTTCTTCTCAGTTAATAAGAGTTATGTACTGAAAGTGCTGAGATAAAGTAATGGTAAGGAGGATACCGCAAAAGGTATTTGAAAAGCAGAAGTAATTTAGTACCTGTCTGCTTTGTTTTACTTCCTAAGCCTTCCTATTGTGAAAGGAAATTCATCTTTTCTGGCAGACTCCAGCCTTTTTAGGGCGGAGAGCTCCCCAGGAGCTTTAGAATGCAGGTAAATGGATGTGAGACTCAAGGAGCACAGTACAAGCAACATGGGATTAATGTTGAGTTTTGCTTTGGCTGTCACATCTGACGTATAAGGAGAGTGCTGCATCCTTGGTTGCAAGAAGTATCTGGATGTAAAAACACAAGGCTGAGTCTTTGCTCATTGCTATAAGACTGAAATGCCACAAATGGAAAGGTCGTGTTGCTGGTGGGTGAAGCTCGCAGGATCTACAACCAGGTGGGTGAGGCATGTGGGATCTACACCCAGCAAAGTTTCCACATGAGACAGACGTCCGGGTGCTCCAAGCAGAGCATGTGAAAGCTCAGAGGAAGGGCTGTGGATGGACAATAGGTGCAGCCTGTATCCTGCACACAGCAGGGACCCAAGAGTAGGCACAGGGGAAGCATCCACTGCCTAATCTAAATAGCACACAGAGTGGTTTTGTCCTCTTCTGTTCTCCTGCCAGTTTGCACATATGTTCTGAGTATACAGCCTGCCCTCCAAAGACCACTTACAGGGGCAATCACAGGGAAGCAAAGCAGGGAGAAAGTATCCAAAAAGGGAATTTGTTCAAGAGAAAAAAATGGAGACAGATGTAGAGCGACTAGTCACGGCTGGCGGTAAATAACCCTCTGCCTGGAGTGCTCTAAGAGGAGTTTACATATTCCATTTCATATTTCCTTTCTAGGAAGTCAAATCTTTGTTTTCCTGGCATTTGTTCTTTTTCCCTTCTGTATGGTCTGTAACTGTTTTCTCATTTTTCCTTTCTCTTCTATGTTTTGCTGTCTTTCAAGTGCATTTCTCCCATTTCCCCCTAATTTTCCTGCACTGTCTCACGCAACATCCTTTACTACCATCCTCTCACAGTCTCTGTGCCATGAGCATGCGGATGCTTCACACCTGCTCCTGTGTTTGAATCTCCCCTCTTTCTCATGTGCACACCTCAAAATTAAGCAAATGCAACACACAGAGACAGAATATTCATCCTCTCGCTCCCATAAACCTGTCAAGGCATATAGGCCAAAAAGCTATCTCTGCATAAATCTAAATCTCCTGTGAGGAAGCAATCTACTCAGAGGCAATAAAGCCAAAGGATATATTATTATCTTTGGTGTGGATCCTACTGGGCTGGGAGGTTGGCTGCTGGCTCCTCTCTGAACTTTCCTTCCCAGCCAGAGCAGCCATCCCACAGACAAGTCTAGGCTTCCTTTTCTTGGTCTGATTTCCTCCTCCTGTTGTTTGGCCAGTAACCCAAAGAACAGGGTTTAATTATGGAGTTTGGAAACCTGACCTACACTACTCTGCCAGCACAGGTTAAAACTTCAGCCTGTCTTCTGAACCCGGATCATTCTGCACTGCTGATACCTGTGTTATCCCATGCAGCATAAGATGAATTGCATAGAAGAAATGCCAAGTCAAACAAAAAGATAGGCTTAGTCTTCAAGCTTCTACTGCGAATTCACTGAGAAAAAAAGCAAAACACTGAAGCTCAGAGATTATTCCATGTTAAAACTGTGCCACCATTTTGATTGTAGATTAAATAAATGGCAAGGCCTTTTTCTGTAAATAAAGACATCAGAAAGGATGGATCTGAAACAGGTCCAGACTCCAAAGCTCCCTCTCAGAGAGGAATGTCGCGGCAAGCCACTGGGTAATAGGGAATGTTAACATCACTTGTACAGCTTTTAGAGCACCAATTTATTTTCTAGGCAGATGCCCCACTGAAGACCCATAAAACATTTTACACTTCTGGAGATGAAATATCTGTGTGAAACACAAAGGGCCACACGTTAGTATCAGACCCAGGTGTGATGTCTGTGCACAGCAGGATGTGTCCCTTGGGGGAGCACCTCATGCCCGTGACACACCACTGCTGCCCTGGCATGGAAGGACACTTCAGTACTGTTTTGTCCTTCACCACCGACGAGCTGTGGCTCTTCAGGTAACCTCTCTGTCAGCTGTGCTCTTGCAGTGACCCTGTTTTACAGAGAAGCTGAGGCAATGAATTTAGAGGACAGGCTGCTGGAAAACCATGGCAGAAGCACTGGGGGGGGGGCTGTGTGGATATAGCACAAGGGTGGCTTGGAAGTGCATCCCACATGGGCAGGATAAAGCTCTTTTTCTTCATAGCTGTGACAGTGATAGATGGCTTGGTGAATCTGAGCTATATCGAGTTGGTACCTGGCTAGAGTCCCTGATGCTGCAAGGTGATTGTCTGCCATTTTACAGGCAAGACTAAGCAGAATCTGGGATTTTTCTATAATAAGTGAGGAAGGTCATCAGGAAGGAAGAACCTTCTCTCCTCTGACTTGTTCTTGCCTTTCTGAGCACCTCAGGAAGTTTGACATGGGTAGCTGTGCTTCTTCACAATGGGCACCCAATGGAGCCAAGGTGGTGGAGGTGCTTCGGAGGTGTAAGGCTTTAGGCACTTCTCTTGCTCAGCTCAGCAGCTCAGTGCCACCATCTAGCCAGGACTTGGATGAGCCAGAGGTAATGACCACATGTGGGGAAAACCACCAGAGGTGACAGCAAAATTAATAGCCAACCTCTGGCTGTTGCACAAATGGAGAACATTTGTCATTAACAAAGAGTACCCCAAACTTTGGAGGGAGCTGCTCCCCCATCTGACAATGATGTAGAAGCAGTGACCCACTCAGCTTTTAGCCATCTGTGCCTGCACAGGAGGTTGTGATCTTTCCCTTTCACTGTGCACTGAGCTTTGGTGCGTGTTTTTGCCGCTCCATGAGCAGACTGGTTTAGTACAAGGTGAAGCTCTGCCTTACATCATCTGGAGCTGATGGAGGAAACAGCCTCTGGTGCCTACAGAGCAGGACACCTCACTGCAAACACCAGAGCCCTGGGGACGGCAGTGGCGAGGCAGTCACGGGGAGCCTGGCACTTGTCTGCCTGCAGGTCCACCCTCTCCTCCTGCCAAAGTGCCACATCTGCAGTCAATAAGGGCCCACAAGCTGGCTCCTCCTCATTAGAGCAGAGAGGGCAGCTGGCAGGGGATCCTCCAAGGGCTCCCAGGCACAGGAATCAGTCCCCTCCCAGTCTGGAATAGCCCAAATTTGGTGACTTTCTGGGCATGCTGTAAAGGACAGCTGTTTGACAGGGTCTCCAGAGAAAGCTGTGGGTATGTTTCCTACATGATGAAGGATATAGGTGGCTGGCCAAGTGCCCACAGAACTGATTTTAATGCTGTTCAGGTCGAATTTACTTTTCTGTGCTGTATAGTTCATTATACACAGTGCCCTGAAAAAGCATGTGTTGTTTCCAAACAAACCAAACCCAAACTATTTTAAATCCAAACAAACAAGAAAGACAAAAAATACCTATTGCGAAAGATCTTTTGCATTTATAGAGGACCTTCTCAAACCCTGGGAGGCTGGAGATGAAGGCACCGCTTGCCTTCCTCTAACAAACAGGACTTCTGATATTTTTATTGGCAATAAATACTTGATTATTTAGCTGTAAGCAACACTGAGGCATTAACTTCACCTATGCATCTAGCACTGACCCAGAAAAATATTTCCAATAGTATTAAGCACCCAGATGATCTCAGGATAAGTAATCAATGGACAGTTAAGTATGTAACATAACAACCCAAAAAAATGATCAACAAGAAAGATCACACACAAAAATTAACCGAGAAGAGAGACCGAAGAGCTGCTTCCTCAACCTTCTGAAGTGTAGCACCCAGTGATATCTGTTTTGATATGAAGCCTCCAATCACACTTCACAGCATTACAGATTAATAAAACAACTCCTTCTGTAAGTCTCTTAAAAGTCATTACTAAGTGAGCTCAAGTGTTGTATAATGCTTGAAAAGTCCTTCTACCTTATATAAGTTTTGGGATATTTATTTAAGCAGCATAACTGATGGGGCACAGCCCAGACAGGTACTGCTTTTTGCTAGAAAAAGCTATCCCACAACGGAATCTGGACATTTTGACAGAAAAAAGACCGCCTATCTTTTGTTGCATTATTTAAATACTTCAAATATTTGGCCAAAACACAAAAGTGACACGCTACAGAAACATTCACAGCTGCAGGAGCAATAAAACCACTACTATATTTTCATTAGACTGACTGTTTCCCAGAAGTTACAAGATGTCTAGAATTGATCGCCTCTCTACACAGCATTCTGATAACAAAACAGAGCAAGTGAAGATCTCAGGCTCTGGAGAGCCGTGGCTTACCTGGCTCCACTTCATGCCATCCGCTTGACTGGCTGCCGCTGCCTGGAGACCGCCCTTGGCTAGTATAGAACGGCTCCTCACCAGGACTGTCCATCTCATCCTCCACAGACTTGAGACGTTTTGTAGAGCTGAGAAAGCAAAAAAAAATAAAGGCTATATCTGTATGGAAAAGGCACCATGGCACTTCTTTTGGAACATATCTTGCTAGCCCTGCTTGAGACTAACTTGGTTATGGAACCTATAACGGATTTAAGGCCCTGGGAAGGGGAAGATGTGAATCCTGCAGAGACATCCTGCCCATTCAACCTCTCAGCATCCACTTTTTGTTTCTGATTTGCTTCCTATCCAATGACTAAGCTCCACTGAGATACAAAACAACCTTTCAGTGTCCAGACTGAACCCCCAAACGTGCTAGTTTAACTAGAAGATAGTTTGACATTTAAGCTGTTACAGCTCCAAAAGTAGGAGATTTTCAAAGTACATAGAGGTCAATGAAAAGGCAATAATTTAATTTGCATTGTGTGATTTTTGTAACTGGAATGAATATGGTGGTGACACACGAGACTTATTTTAACCGCCAAATTTTTTCACAGCTTATTCTGAAAGCAAACTGTTTATCAGTCCAAACTTCTATTTTCAATCTTTTAAATTAATCCACATTTCACATAAGAAAAAAAACACAGAGAAGTGAATGATGGAAGAATCCATTTTTGGTTCAAATGTTCACATTATCCTACAAGAATAAGCATTTGACTCTGCAGCTGAGTGCCAGCAAGCAGAGAAAGCCTCCAATAGGTATCTCTGGCCAGTGTCAGCATTAAAGAATCCCCTGTGCTATATCACACCTCCCTTGCCAAAGGCTCAGGACACAGAAGAGCCCTTTCAGTGGTCTCTGGTGGCCACTGGCTCCAGCAGTTCTGCAGGGAGAGGATCCTGGAGCCAAAGACACTCAGCTTGGCTCTGTTTTCCATAATGAGTTGTACAGACTGCATGGGGACATTACTGAGAATTTCTCTTCTAAGTACTTTTCCAAGGCTGGATCAGTTCACTTTTTTTCCCCAAATCTGTATTCTATTAAGACTTAAGGCATTCAAGAACAGGCTCCTCTGTGTAGGGGGAAGATATTTAACAGACATAAAATCTTCCACTGCAATTCCTATTGGTTTAGAACTTGCAGCCTCCCCACCTGAAGCTCTGCACAGGTAGGAGCTGGCGGGTTTGCAAAATCAGTTGGTGAGAAACAGGAAGAATAAGTCTTACGGTATGTGTGGAATGCAGGTTTGGCCATTCCTTAATTTAGAGAATTGTTATGTGTCAATAGGGGAAATTGTGTGCATACAATATAATTACTGCCTGATAATTCTGCTGAGTCTGTGTATTTAAAGAATTTTTTTTTCTGACTGGGAACAGCCTAATGAGAGGAAAACAAACATATTACCAAGTTATTAACTACCCATGCTGTTTATAATTAGCTCCTTATCAGTGGTAGCTATTTGCAGAAGAATAGAGGAGCAACAACTGAGCTCTTAAGTAACATTAATAACCTCACTTTTGCTTCTGGAATCACCAGTAAATTCTACCTGAGAATGGTGCTAATGATGAGTGCTGTAGGCTACACAGTTTACAGGCAAAAAAGAAACAGCACCAAGTTTTTAATTGATGTGTAATGGGAATTGTAGTCACCAAGCTTCATAACATGCACGCTAAGTGTAAGAAGTAGAATGTTCTTCCAATCACTGTAAACTGTAAGAAGTTATTGCTAAGAGCCTCTTGTTAAAGATTATTATTTTTTAAATAAAAACAACAGCTATATTCAAACTATTGAGATTTTTTACATGTGTACTTGCTTACTGCAAAGCTGGTTGCACTGCAGGCTGAGATAAAAATGTAAAAGAACATGGGGCTGGAGTTAGACTTTCTTGTCATGTCTTTGAAATAAGTGAGCTATTTTGGCTGTGGGGGAAAAAAAATCAATCTGGTTCCTTAATAGTGTTCAAGACTACTCGAGTGACTGGGCTTGTTTATAAATCTAATCTCATGGATGATTAAAGGGAAAGGTAAAAAATAAAAAACATCCTTGTTTGATAGTTGGCATCTAACTCAAAATCAAAATCAACCTGGGTAGTCATCTGCATTAACAATTCAGTTTTCCAAAGGCTGAGTCACAAATATCTAAATGCTTTATGAAAACTAGAATGCTTTATAGGCCAAGGTCCTAAAACGATGTTAGTCTCACAGGTAACACTTTTTGCAATAAAGAATACATGTAAGTCAATCTTAAGACTTTCCTCACATCTCAATATTCTCCAAATTCTCTTCTGCCACAACCGAAACTCAACAGTTCCAGTGGAACTTCTCCTGATATACATAGATACAAGCCAGAAGTTACACAAGCCAATGCAGCAGTTTTTCTTGGATATTTCTAAATGTAAAAAGAACTTTACGGCAATGCAGGTGAACATTCGACTCTGTGAATCTGAAACAGCTCCACATCGTGAGGCCTCCAAACAGCTTGTCAAAGAATTTAATGGTTACTTTCCCAGATGAGTAATGATGCTGGCCTGGGTTTCCAAGGAACCTGGTAGTAGGCAGAGATTAAATTACCTGGTAGAGGATGTGCTAGGTAAAGACCTCCTCATTGCTCCTGGGCTCATGCTGTAGTATGAAGAACTTTCCAAATCTGAGAGGGAGAAATTAGGGCCTGTTCCTGCAGCTATCGGTGCTGGGGAAACAAAAGAGATTGCAGTCAGTAAGTCATGTGAATATGGTATGAATTGCACTTCAAAATCACTTTCTTCTTCCTCATGAGAGCGTTTAGTTTCATGGTAAGAACAGGTGGGACATGGAAATTAGGAAATGCTAATGGTAACTGCTGTTGCAATTGAGAAGATGGAAATTTTATCAAGAATACAATGTTCCATGACATACACTCTTCTTTGCATATCTCCAAAGCTACTTCTTTTTAATAAAAAAATTAAACAATTATGGCACTACTTTCTTTAAGCACTGGTTTTCTATTAATATCAATCTAACATTTAATGAAACTTGTTGCTTTTAGGACAACATTGAATCTGTTGGCACGGTTACAGACAGGCTGCATCATCCCTGTCGTGGGCTTGGCAGGATCTATAAGCAGCATAGGCAGGGAAATACACACCTCAAGACCTTTGGGGTATACGTGATGTACATCCACAAGCACAGAAGTTTCAAAATCAGATTAGAAACCTGAGTTCTTTTGTGCCTGAGAGCATCTGATTTTTCCTCTGGTCTCTTCTCCAGTTAAATCAGAACTAGAGACATATGACTCCCAAAAAGTTTTATCCAGCAGAGAGCTTCCAGTGTTCAACTCTCATCACCTTATCCTTCACTGAAGTTTTATTGTAAGGGATATGAATACCTGCAATTTCTCTGTCCTAGAGCTTTGGCTTTACATTAAACACAATGAATTCCTGCACACCCTGAAGTTTCCAGGCACAAGCCATGTGCAGTATTCTTGTGTGAACAGACAAGGAACAGAGCAGCTAAATGTTAAAGTCAACAGAGAATGGATTTCAGAAATGCCACTATACAGCAAATGGTACCATGTCCACTGTTGCCGTTCCACTGCGATTTACAGGACAATACATCTTTGGGAGCTGACAATTACAGATCATGATTTCCTCTAATATTTCAGAGCCATATGAAAAAGGATGTCCTGCACAATAAAATGAACAAGCTTGGTCTGGGCTGTATTGTCTGGGAGCCCTGATTCACAGCCACAAAGGCAAAGCAGTCTCAGTGCCACACAAGGATGCTGAGCCAAGTTTAATCTTTGGTCTGAGAATCTGGCCCATTTTCAAACATGAAAAAATCTTTCAGTCTGATGGGGCAGGAGTGAGGAAATGAAGACAGGATAGCTCCTATCACCCAGCTAACATGTCTGGGCTGGGAGTGCTGCCATTGACTGTAGCGGGGCCAGTTTTTCACCCTAAGTCTTAAGGAGCTCACAATGTCAAATTTGACAGAGGAATTATGTAGCTTTGCAGCTGCCTCATCATCCCCACAAGACAATTAGTTGTTGTTTGGCAAGGATCTTTTAAGAACGTCATTGAGACAGAAAGGGAACAGCTTGGATAGCCACGGACTTTTAAAAGCATAGGGACAGAAAATACACAACACCATTAAAACTTGAGAAAATCTGGAATGATCATCAAAAGGAATTAAGTTGGGAAGTAATTTATGATGAGAACACTCAAATCCTTTGTTATCTTCTCTTAACTATCATATGCTTCCTCCACACTGGGTATATTGAGAGGGTGTGTTAACATAAAGAAAAATTAAGCACAGTAAAATTAACTCGTTTTATCAATTTGTGCTTTCTGCCACAGTTTCCTGACAGCAACTACGAGACACTGTAAAACTGATGAATTTGCATGAAAAAAGAAACTGGTGTAAGTAATTTGTGTAAAAGGTAACAGGGACATGGACTGCTATAATTCAGACACCCTGCAGATAGCAGGCTGCTGCAGTGTGTGCAGTTATGGGTTAGAAAAATGACCACACTGCAGTCAGTCTGACTTGAATGGAAATCAATCATAAAGGTACTCTCTGCAGCATCTACTCCACAGTTTTCAGCAACTTCTTTGCCAAACAGATCTGTGCTCTGCAAACCCTTTCCTGAGCAATTCCTCTGCACCCTCTAACTCCCAAAGTCGAACTTAGAGGTTAGAGAATACTGTTTTCCAAAGAGGAATATAAAAAGCCAAGCACTAAATTAAAGCACCATTTCTTTCTGGGCATTGCTAGATTTATGAAACAGTTTTATTCCAAACAGATATGAAAGAAAAAATTATATGTGGGTAATGCTTTTCTTCTTTCTCTCTCCACCTGTGTTTATTGCCCTCTCTCCAAATCCTGGGTATTTCTTGAGTTGGCCCTATAGGAAAATGGAATGTGTGTCCAGAGCAGGGGTGGGGTAGGAACATTGTATTGTTAATGCTATGTAAACTCAGTGCAAAGTAGAAAGGGTTGACCACACAGGGGTAGCAAACATGAAGGATGCTTTGTTGGTCACTGGCCAAAACACTTTGCCACACTCAAGAGCCAGTTTGCAAACAGAGGATTAAAAAACAAAACCCACCTCTAATATACACCAGCAGATGTTAAAGTACCTGACATGGTTGTGGAGGCCAGGACCTGAAACCCTTGGCAGTCCTTGCACAGGAGCCATCACCCTGCCACCACCAGCTAAAGGTCTCTGGCCACAGAAGTGCTGTGGCAAAGGTTGCACAGGACTGAGCTGTTCCAAAATCCCTTCTCCTGCCTTACTGTCAGGGACAGACTCGGTGCCTGTCTTCGACCAAAGGCTATTTGTACCTTTGCTCACAGCTCTCCTATATACTATCATAAATCACAGCCATGTGCTGATGTGCAGAGCTACCCTGACACGTAGAGCCCACCCTGAGACCGTCAGGAAGGGGTTAATGATTTTCATCTGCATGGCAGAAGGTCGAGTCTTTGACTCCTCTTCCCAGATGGAATTTGGTTGCAGATCCCTGCCTGGCACCTGCCTGCATTACTCATCCCTGTGTTTTGCAGTGCAATGTGCCACAAGAGTGGGCATGGAGCAGCCAGCCCACCCAGGAGGCACCTGAGCCTGCTCCAAATGGCTTTTCACACTGCCTTTGGGGACTGTCCACCTCTCACAGGTCAGAAAGCTGATGAGAAGGGGTCACTTGCATTTATTTGCAGGATTTCTAGGAAGAAATTCTTCCCTATGAGGGTGGTAAGGCCCTAGCACTGGCGGTACAGAGAAGTTGTGGCTGTCCCGTCCCTGGAAATGTCCAAGGCCAGGTTGGATGGGGCTTGGAGCAACTTGGGATAGTGGAAGGTGTCCCTGCCCATGGCAGGGGGTTGGAGCTAGATAAGCTGTAAGGTCCTTTCCAACTCAAACCATTCTAAGATTCTATGATTCCCAGCAAAGGCAGCATCTCTGGAGCGTAAGCAAAGGGATCAAAGTGGTGCAAGGTGTGTCAAAACTCTGTTGAAATTAAATCTTCTTATTGTAGCATCTGACAATCCACCACACAACCTCCCTATCCCTGTCCCTGTGTCCCAGAAACATGCTCTGGCCCCACACAAAGCAGCAGCATGATTGGGAGCTACGCTCCACAACAGGCTTTTCCGTGCTGCAGCCTGCACAAACTCCAGGCATCAACATTAAAAACACACCATTTCCCCCTGTAAGAAATGCAAAGTGACCTTCTGACAGATCAGGAACATCTCCCAAACAGAAAAGGTTGTCAGAAACTGCAGTTGTGTGTCAAAACAAAATTCTCCACCTCCATACTGGCATCAAGTCGCCACCTGACCCAGAGCTCTGAGCTGCAGGTGGGTGAGGGGGAAGGATCCCTCTTCCCTCAACACCCAGCCTACAGTTCCCATTTCAGCTGCTGGCATCACAAAAAATTCCCTGCGCAGATGGGACACGCTCAAAGGGGCAGGAGCAGGTAGTTTGCACAAAGGGAGGAGGAGGAGGAAGGTGGGTACCTCTGCCTGCACACTGTGCTACTCCCGGCATGCAGGACAGCATCTCCCTGCTGCCAGCCTGCTCCCTCCACTGTCAGTGGGTCAGCTCAGCTCCTCACCCCAAATGTCAAGAAAAATATAAGAGAAATTAAGGAAAAGCCCTCTGACTTAACCCAATTTGAATATTTATTTTGAAAAATTTATTGAATTACAGAACAGGAAACCCACTAAATAAAACCAGCCAAGTTGGCATTTGTCTCCCTTGGAATATGGCACTTTCTTTTAGCCACCTTAATATTTAGTTTCTCCTTTTTTTCCATTTTTATGTATTTATTTTTACAGAAGGGCTGGGATGTGACTAAGATCATTACATGTGTAACACTGCAGTGAAGTGATAATGTGTTTAAGGTTAAATGGGAGAAACATGACATTTGACTAATAAACTTTTTCCTGTGTTGTGACTCCATAAACAAAGGGAAACACACTGTGCTGCTGCTGAGAGGAAAGGGGAGCTGGGTTGCTTTTTTTTTTTCCAGGGCCTTTGTTTCCTCCACACTGTATCATTAGATTCAAAGAGGTCTTGCCGAATACAACAGATATGAAATGTGTGATGTTCATTTTAAAATTACAAGTACAGCCTGCTATTGACCATCTAATTATGCTGAGTTCCATTTATAAACATAGCTAACCACTAAGTTTATAGAGACTTTTTGTGCTGCTTTAATAGGATATTGATCGAGAGCAAGGTTTGAGTGGACTGCCATTGAATTGTGTAATGGCATACAAAAGGCAAGGTCACGGCAACTGTTCACTCTATGCCTGCAGTCTATTTTTTATTATAATCTTTTTTTCTCCCTCTTATACCCAAGCCCACACAGTGAGTTTTGGATGGCAGTGCTTTGCTAAGGAATATAGAGTATCTTTTTAAATGTTAATTTTCATGCTGCTGACTTTAACTGCCTTCACTAGCGTAATGCTTAGTATAGCAGAAAACATACAGGCTGCTGTTCAGAGAGAGCTGGTTTATCACACCCAGCTCTCCCACATGTGCTGTGTGAGGAGGAGGAGGAGGAGAACCTCTCCTCCTCTCCTGGGCTACAGGAAAGGCATCCACCTAGCCCAGACCCACAATAACAGCCAGGCACCTCACACCTTGCCCCAGGCACCCAGGACATGCTGGGGTTCACAGGACTTTCCCTGCAGTTTGTTTCAGCTGCTGCTGGATGAGTGGCATGAGGAAGATGTGCTACCTCTGTCACACCCACACTCTGTGCCTGGAGCACTGGCAATCACGCTCATTCCCAACTCTTGCCCTCACAGCAAGGACAGCTTCAGCCCCTTTCTCCCCCCCGACAGCTGTCATGAACCAAGCCTGGCATTGCTGTGGCAGGATCCTGAGCTTTCCACAATGTCTTGGCCACAGAAGCACCTCTTACCTGTGGAGTTAGTGTAAGTGTTTCAGGGATAATCGGCTGGACCATTTCTGTGTTTACACAGGAGCAGTAAGCAATTGCAGGTACATTTGTGTGCTTTTGGTGCCACTGGCTCATTAGAAGGATTAAAAGTCACCCCACTTGCTCCTCACTGCACACAGCCAACACGTTAAACCTCAACGCATGGCATTTTCAGTCCAGGGTGCAGTCAGAATTCCCTTGTTTATCAGCACGAAGAATGATGTCATTTTGACAAATAACACACCACCAAACAAATATGTTTGATTTGGCTCTAGCGAATGTTCATAAATCCTAAATCTTTCTTCACATCCTGGGCAGTGCAGTTTATCTGGCTGCTTGAAGGACCTCCAAGGGAGGAGATCTTCCCAGCAGCTCTCTCTGTACAAGAGCACGTGGTGCGGACTGAAAGCCAAGAGGGGAATGTGTTCCCCATGCCTTTCTCCCTGCTCTAGCCTGCCACGACCTCCCAGTTCCTGCCAAGAGAAGGGGACTGTACACTTGGCACCACAGCCACCCCTCTGCCAGCACTTTCTGCAGAGGGTCTTTTCCAGTGCCCTGCAGATACCTGCCCACAGCCAGTGGAATATTTTCCTAACAAGGGGAGAAAAGGAGAAGGTTTCACTTGGCCAACAGCTGGCTGTCAGTTCCCAGACCCGTACATCTCCAACGCTTCTGCCTCTGAGCCTTTTGTTGTCAGCACAGACCTCTCCAGTGAGGGAAGAATGAAGTCTCTGTTATCTAGAGGGGTGTCCTCAGTATCTCGGGTGACAGACAACACTCAGAGCCGAGCTCACACCCTCTGCCTGCTAATAATGCAGGAGAGCTGACAGCATGATCTGCAACACCCACATCAGATGGGCTGGAGAGGAGTCTTTGTTTTTCAGATGCACATCTATTTTCTCTGTTTTACTGGGCTCTGCAAGGCTCAGCAGCTGGGCAGCATTTTGAAAGAAAATCTGCATCTATAGGACTGAAGAAAGCAAGTTTCTGTTACCAACACAGTCTAGACTTGTTCAATAGCGCACAGAAAGTGTGATGATCAGCACTGATAGGTAAGACAGATAACAGCAACAGCTGACCTTTCGCTTGATTAATTCATTCCCCAAATTTGCATGACGGAGACAACTGCCTCTTACTTGAGACTCCTTGTCATGTGGACCTCTGCAAACTTTACTAAATAAACCTGGCACATAATTGCTACCAACAATATTTTGTAAGATTAATTTTACATAACAGCAGCCACAGGCCAGTTAAAACTGGGTGGAAATTATTTTATTATTTTATAATAATATTTTAAGCATTATATTATCAAAAGAAAGCTGGAAAGAAAAATGACAGTGGGCATACACAAAGATGACCTCTTTGGAAAGAAGATTGGTCTCAAATCAGGACACAGGAAGACGTAGACAACCCAGCAAGGGTTATATTAACTTTAAAAGACCTTGCCTGCCAATTTAGGCAAATATGCAGCAATCACTTTGTTGCTCTGTTATGTTAAATAATTCTTTGAATATGAGCATGTGAATTCATACTGAGTTTGCTGAGAATTTGCTGCTAGACTTGACACTAAACATATCCTACTGGGTAGCCAGGGCATGTCAGGCTGTGGGCTTCTCAGACCTCATAAAGTAAACAAGGTTACGGCTGGTCAGTACATGTCTGGGGCATCTCCAAGGAAAATCCAGGGTGCTATCAAAAGCAGTGTAGCTAAATCAGTTGCTGGCACTCTTCCCTCTGAGTCAGTTTTGAAGTGATATCCCAATATGCTTTGGGGACACTATTTTTGGTAGAGGTGCTGGCTTGTAGACAGGATATAAAACTGAGGTCTTGACCTCCCAGGATTATTAAAGAGCCCATGAAAAACAGTGCAAACCCCTGTGTCTGGAACAGATAAAAGCTGAATATCTTTATTTTTCCCCACTAACACCTTTTTTCTTATTTCTGATAAAGTTTGTATTCTTTCTGCATGCAGGTGCCCCATCCTTGAAGGTGGTGCACTTCAACTGCAAGCAGAGGGAACATTTCAGACACAGTTCATAATTTGCAAAACATGCTGAGTGCTAGGATTTTTGATACCCAGTGTTTTAGTTTAGTTACAATAAAGTATCAGGGAAAATTAATAAGCATGAAACACGATGCTCACGAGGTCAATGCCAAGCTCTGGGGGAGGCTGGGACTGGTGCTGGGGCTGGCTGGGAAGGCTCCAGCCCTGAGTGGGGCACTTTCCTAGCTAGAAAAAGTGCACACATGGAGCACGACTGACAGAGTCCAGAGGCAGCTCTGCTGTTCAGGGCTCCTACAGCGCAGATAAGATTGTGGTGAAGTGGGATGCCTTGCAGAGGGGGAGGATGAATCCTTTGGGCTTCAAAAGCCTTGTGCTGTCACACTGAAATAAAGTGACATAACACGGAGATGTTCAAAGCCTGGTGATAACTTGGGTCTGTCCACCCTGGCTGCAGGTACCAGCAAGTCTGTGTACTCAGTACAGTGAGTTAGATGCCAAAGCCCCTAGTTAAGCACTTTGGTAAGTGAACTGATTTGCAAATGTGCTGAGCACTCAGCAGCTCCTCTTGACTTCTAAGTCTTCTTAACTTTGTCCTTCTCTCAAAATTCCCACCAGTTGTCAGGGAAGAAAACTCAGGAGAAATGTTTTCTTCGAGCTTTTTCTCTCGCTGCCTCTCTCCAGAGCATATAACTCTGGCATTCATGTATCACCCACTTGCCATGCTTTCCTTGTAGCATCCTATCTTTAATATAAAGCCAATGTGTTAGCCAGTGTAAGCCTTTCCAAAAGAGGAAATAACCCGGGAAAATCCTTACACAAACTCTGTGTTCTGATTCAAAACCACAGATTCTCTGCTAGGTTTGTCCCAGTCAGATTCCAGCCCCAGAAAGACTTAAACTACATGCTCAGAGCCAGTACACAAACAAATATTTCTATCATCAAGGAGAACCATTTTGATCACTGTTGGTGCTAAAGAGACTGGTTGCACACCCTAAGATTTTAAAGGGGCCCACAGCTGAGGGGTCCACCTGGAGCACTGGTGATTGCTGAACATCACCTTATCCCACTCTAGTTGGACAAAAGATCATAGAACGGTCTGAGTTGGAAGGGACCTTAAAGGTCACACAGTTCCAGCTCCATGCCATGGGCAGGGACACCTTCCACTAGACCGGGTTGCTCCAACCAGGCCTTGAACACTTCCAGGGATGGGGCAGCCACAGCTTCTCTGGGCAACCTGTGCCAGGGCCTCACGACCCTCACAGGGAAGAATTTCTCAGATCCCCAGAGGACCAGTACCTATAGCCCTGGCTTAGCAGTAATGCCTCTGCAAGACACTGTCCATACTCTTTCCTTGGACTATCTGGATTATGTCATAGCAAAATGCAATTGATGCACCTTTGATCAATGGAACATGGTGGTGACAGGTACTCTTAATTCACTGTTGTTAGTGAGTATTGACAAGCCTGTAATGATCATGCTGCTGTGTGTCATTCATGCTGAGGGCATTAGCATTCTTTAAAGGTCAAAAAACAAATCCTTCTAGAAGGCAGAATTCCATATAGTTAATGGAAAACATGGGCCTGGCGAAGTCAAGATGTGTGAGATTATCAGGGCTGAAGTTAGTACAGTTGTTGGTATTATTAATGACTTCAGCAATTTGCAGGTGTACAAACCACAGAATCACAGAACATCCTGAGTTAGAAGGGACCCACATGAATCATCAAATTCCAACTCCTGAACCTGCACTGGACAACCCCAAAAATCACACACAAAGACATGTACACATGACATGGATGAACACAATGTGGAAAAAACAGCATAAGAAAATTTCCAGGCTTATGTGCACAGATCAAATAATTTCTAGAGGTCTGGTCAGAGTCCTTGGATCCTCCAAAGCAGCCATGGGAAGCTGATTTCTGTAGGTATTTATCTGTACTCTGATATGGAGTCTGTCCATTTTCAGCTGAGTACCAGATGAGTTTATCAATTTGCACAGGCAAGTTTGTGGAATCAATTTTTTTTTAACTTAGTTTAAAATTCTATTTTGTTTTTGCCCATTAAAAGATGTGGCACATAAACGCTGTCCACTAGCAAGAACAGGGGAGAACTGAGTCTCAATTTTCAAGATGCTGTTTCTGAATTGGGAAAGGGGCACGATAAGAATAAAAGAAAAAACACCGGCATTGCAGAAACCACATAAACTGGCCACAAAATGATACTTACTTTGTGAGACTCTTACTAGCTCAGTCACACTGAAAACACCTGATGTGACAAAACTGTCCTGGAAGCCCAAATGTCCTACAAAACAAACAGAGTGAGAGAACTGCGATTAGCTTTAAGCATTTAATGACAGTATTCTCAAATACTTTACTTTCATTTAGACTTAAGATGTGACATCTAATTTCCCACTTAGCAGTAATTATTGTTTATGTAGGTGGGTAACTAGTCATACAGCTATGTAGGCTGCTTTGTGGTTTCTATCTAGAGGTTAGGAAAGCTAACATGACACATCAGCAGGGAGATTTTTACATGTTAAAGCATCTCAACAGGAAATCTGAAACAAAAGAGGACTATTTTAATAAACGGTTACCTTGGATGACCCCTAATGACTTCACAATTGAAATGAAAATACTGTACCTAGGAAACAGACAGGACAGCTAAGTTCCATAATCGTTTTAAACATTATTCTCTGAAGAAACATCTGATCAGGATTATCTACCCATTCATTCAAACAAAACAAGATTTAAAGATGTACTCTTCATTTTTCTAAGGTTACACTAGGGAAATCTTAAAATAGCAGAGGGTTAAAAAAATTTAAATGAAGGCCTTTTGCACCAAAAAATATTCTACCATTTCAAACTAGGCTTTGAAAAGAAAAATAAACCTCTATGTAAGAAAAGTGTTAACTTTGAGCTGTGGACTGTCTGTAGGAATCAGGGTGGACACGTCCACACTCATCTCCCTTGTGCAAGGAATGCCTCTGCACTTGGTATCAAAATGTTATTGCACTTTACATAACAGTATTTTCCTTCTTCTCTGCAAACATGCCTACCACCAAATGTTCATTTAATTTTCACGGGTATGATCAGTGACAAAAGGAGCAGTGCTGGGGCTGCAGCCCAGTGAGAGTGTGAGGGGTGGGGTACGGCGGCTCACGCAGGACAGAGCTGGACTTCAATTAGAGGGAGGTCTGCAGTTGGTCGGCCAGGCTGACCTCCTGCTTTTGAAATCAGGGTCAAAGGAGAAATCGCAGGATAAAGAGATTATTAAAAGAACTGTAAAGTCCTACTTGCCCACAGGATAAGTGCCATACCTTTTTAGGTTGCCCTACTTAGAGTCACTGATTCCGGCGCACGCACACATATATTATTGAATGTTTTGCAGGGACACCATCTGCTCCGTTGTTAATTGTTTGTCAGGCTCAGTACGATTTCCCTACATTCCATATATTCTACTGTACCCCATGCTCATCCCAGGAATACCTGTTCACCTTTCTCTAAGGACCAGAGCAATAGGACTAATGCAAGTTGCACATTTGATTCCCTGGCTTTCTTTTGGGGTTGTTTAAAAAAAACAACATATACAACATGTACCATTGACATTTCTACGTGGAGAACAGGATGCAAAAGAAATACATCTTGTGTGCAGGACTACAGAGTAGTCAGGGAATAGTGTCAGGGAATGTGTCAAGGAAAGGTTTGGGAGAGATCTGGAGGGAGGAAAGCCGTTCATCTCCAGCCAAGATCTCATGGAATTCTGCTCCTACACAGAAGAAGTTCCCTGTTTCTGTGAGGAGCCCACGGTGCCAGATGAACGCAGTCGCTAAGCTAACAGACTCCAGACAAGTTTCTACATCAGGCATCTTTTTATACTTCAGCAATAATGATGAGTTTTCAAACTGTGTATATGTATATCTTTGGGCATCCTTGTGTATGTGTGTATACATATGTATTATGTACACAAACATATAAATATACACAAATCTGTCATGCTCCAGCTGTAGATAAATGTACTATAAAATATTGAAATTGATGCTGAAATTCAACACAAACAAATTCCTCAATCTGCAAACAAGGTTTTTATTTACATCAAGAGAATAAATTTTTCTCTACTTCAAATGAATAAATGTTCTTACGAGCTTTTATTTTTCCTTATTTTCAATTTAGAAATGGCTCTCAGAGAGCTGTGAATGCTTTTTCCTGATCTGCTTTGTATTTTCCCATAATAAAGGTGATGACTACCTCATTCTGCTTTTTAGAAACAGTTGCTGGCCATACACAACGTTTGTTCATCGACAATTTCCCAAGTATTTTTAATATGAAGATCTACTTTTCATATGCTGCAGCAGACTTGCCTATTGAATTAAATGATCTGTGAATTAAAAATAATTCTCTTAGGTCTTCACTGAAACCACTCATGTGCCTAAAATTAAGCATATGCTTAAGTGCCTTGCTGGACCAGGGCCAGGACGCTTACTACTCCGCAGAGCCCTTCGGAGGGAAGCCAGTTTATGCTATATAACTTCTCACACTGTGCTCATCATGGCAGTATCTGAGCAACTTCCAGAAGTGCATCCAGCAATGCCACGAACATCTGTCACGTGTTGTTTTTTCACAGTGCACCATCCTGGCTCTGCTCTGGTGTCCACTCCCACCTGCATTTCTCAGGCAGGTTCCTAGCTCACGAAGAGTGAAGGTGAAATTTAAATATGGGAGGAAAAAAACTCCAAATCACAGCCACTGTAGCACATTTGGCTGATTTTTTAAATTAGTCTAGAGCCTTTGTAATTATCCAATAAAAATGTGATTGTCACATGGCTAACAGTGTTACCTTAACTTGGCAAACACAGGTAAAAGCAGAAATGAAAATGTCATTTAAAATATATTCTAACTCTCAGGGCATGAGAAAAGTTGAACAAGTTATCTTGGGCCTGCTGACCTCATTATTCCTATTTTGGGTATACTTGAAATGTCTGCATAGTTCTGCAGGAACATTCCTCATGGTTGTACATGTAATAGTAATCATTAAACAACAGCATGCAATGAGTGTGATTAGATTTTCACCCTTCAATACTGCAAATACACATTTCACAAATGAAAGGTGAATTTCACAATTCTCCAATTTGCTAGTTACTTATAAACATTAGGAAATCAGGGGCTCCTCTTGCCAATCATTAATAATATCTTGATACCCATAAAAGCAATTCTTAGAGCTGTATCAGGAATTTATTTTGATGCACTGTTAGTGTGTGAATTTACAGTTCACTAGAACCCCACGGAGGTTTAAAGATTTGCCTGGATGGCTCAGATTGCAAAATCCAGGCCTAAGACTGTTGCTTTTGCTGAGCTTTTGCAACAAGAAAATGAGAGAAACAGGACAAAGAAGCTAGAAATGTAAATGAAGAATGACTGGGAAGTAGCAGGATTGACAAAATACATGAAGAAAACTTTAACAGGGGTCAAAATGCAAAGATATATCAATTTGGCCGTTCCACTTAATTCTGAATGAGAAAAAAAATGGTAAAGTCAAGCAATTACATATGCAGATGTTAGCATTAACGAGCTCCTGTACTGAAAAGATGATTAAACATCTTGAAGGTTCATGAGATTTACTTTTTATATGGTACTTTACTGAAATATGTTCCCTGCGATAGTTTTGCTCAATATCCCAAAGATAGGACATCGAAACTGCTGTATATGACAGGTCATCTCTGCAGCTTTGTGCGACACTCACAGTTTGGTGGTGAACCAGGTGTTCAAAATTAACCTCATAGAGCTCGTTCACTGAAATTCTGGGTACAGATTAAGACACCAGGCTGGCCAAGGCAGGCCCTGACTCAGCAAAGCTGCTGCAGAGCACATGCTTCAATTTCCTCACACGCCTGACTAAAGCACATGGTTATTGCCCTGACAAATAAAGGTGGGCTGACAACATTGAGGAGGAATCACAATATACTGTTGAATCATTCCTTCAATGCAAGTCTAGGTGCAGTAGGACTTTGCTCATTACCTAAGATCTCACTTCAGCTCATGAGAATGATCATATTCCCCCTAAGGGGGAAAAATCCCAGGCTAATAAGATCAAATTCAATAAAGCAGATCAGGATAGTGACTAACAAATCATATGCCATTACCCAATCACACTTTTGTTGTATGGTACAAATGTGGTGCAACATTATCGTAACAGGTACCACATGGAAAACATCCTTCCATAGCTTGATGACTGCTTTAATTGGGGAGAAAATTCATAATGCGATTTACATATTCTTCTTTTGGATCCCAGGAGACAAGCCAGAAGAAAAGGCTTGAATTGTTGAAGCCTAATTCTGATCTCAAAGAAATTTTAAACAAGTCTTTCTACACTGATCAAACAGAGTTTCACCTCATTTTCTCCTAATTTACACTGGCAGAGGAGAAATCAGGATTAGGCTTGTTGTCTAGTGCTATTTGTTTTGAATTATTAAGCAAACATTCCTATTTCAATGAGTAAACGTGTACAAAGGCAACTAACCTTCGTCCTAAAATTGAGTTTACAGGGGGAGTATTGTCTGCTTTCCCAATTAATGCTGTAAAAAGGAGTCTCAGATGTTGAGCTACCAATCAAGAGCTTGTGTTGTAGCTTGAGAAAATCATGACTGATGCAATTACTTTTATGTAGAAAGTCTGAATATGGACTATAGGTTAAAGTTCATCGGGTTATTGTTCCTTAATTGAATATCAGAAGATGTTTTCAGGGTGCTCGAGGTATTATTGTTATTTAATTAGCAGGCTTCCTTGTGTAATCCAACAGTATTATTTTTACTCTAAAATAGTTAGATTGCACCACAAATACACAAGGTATTTTCTAAACAGATACAGCTGGTTTCCTGAAATCCAAGCTTAAATAAAACTGGGAGAGAGTTACTTCTATGAAGATGATGAAGTCCAAATCCAGTTATTTCTCTTCCACTACAGTCTGAATGACAATGTATTAAGATTTGAAGAACAGCTTTTTGGGAGACTTTGATTTCTTTTCAGTGTTTTAAATTACACAAGTCCCCCAAAGTAGCACTGAAGCCATTTCTAAAGCCTTTTTCATGTTTAGCATCTCACTATACATAGCCATCTTAAAACCTTAAAATAGTAATAATCAATTAGGGTCTCAAGCCTATTATCTTAACCAAATGCCTGATTAAAAGAAAAGCCCTCTCTGCTCGAAGTGCAACTTGATTCCTTTTGGTTTTATCCTCTATCTAGATAATCCCATGTTTCACAAACAATGCTGAGCAATAATGTTGATGAGAAAATTAATGTCTGTAT